GTGTTGCTTGGTTGTTAAAGACAGAAAAGCACTCAAAGGAATAGTTCACCGAAGAACGAAAATTGTCATAATTCACCTTAAACCTGATGCGATATATCTAACAATATCACAATTGATTTAAAAGTTTCAGAGAGCAAGATTTTCAGTGGACCAGTCCTCACACAAACATATCATATGACTTGGAACACAGTGCAACAGTCATATAAAGCTTTTTTGTCAATTTGGAGCTTGACAGCATCCATACCCATTTACTTTCATTGAATCAAAAAGAGTGGCCAGGATATTCTTCAAAATATCTTCTTTTGTGTTCCACAGAAGAAAGTCAAAGGGCTAGGAAATGACATGAGGACGAACAAATAATGACAGAATTTTTATATTCAAGTGAAATATTTCTATACATCAGTACTGGGGCTGCTACAATATCAGATTTTTTCTACATGATTATGCAATACGGTAATGATATTATTGCGTTTAATGGATAGTTCACCCAAAAATGAAAATTCTGTCATTAATTACTTACCTTCATGTCGTTCCATACCCGTAAGACCTATGTTCATCTTCGGAACACAAATTAAGATATTTTTGATGAAATCCGAGAGCTCTCTGACCCTGCATAGGCAGCAATGCAACCGAAATGTTCCCAGGCACAGAAACGTAGCAAGGACATCTGTAAAACAGTCCATGTGACATCAATGGTTCAACCACAATTTTATGAAGCTACGAGAATACTATTTGTGTGCACAGAAAACAAAAATAACGACTTTAATTCAACAATTCTTCTCTTCCAAATCACATATTCCGCCATTATGGAGATTACCATGATGCAGTGCATGCGTGTTCAACGTATAGTAAGCAGTAGCACGTGCATGCGTTGTTTACATGCAGAGGTACTTTCGATAATGGCGGAAGACATGATTTGGAGAAGAATTGTAGAATGAAGTCGTTATTTTTTTCTCTGCGCACAACTTTTTTTTCTAAAAGCTTCGTAAAATTACGGTTGAACCACTGATGTCACATGGACTGTTTTACTGATGTCCTGTGGGAACATTTCAGTTACATTTCTCTCTATGGAGGGTCAGAAAGCTCTTGGATTTTATCAAAAATATCTTAATTTGTGTTCCGATAATGAACAAAGGTCTTATGAGTTTGGAACGACATGAGGGTGAGCAACTAATGACAGAATTTTCATTTTTGGGTGAACTATCTCTTTAACTATAGACATTTTGGGGGAAAAAAATAATGCTATAAGTTAAATTCATCTTTAACTTTGTTTATTTTGTGTTTTCGAGTTTTTAGTAATGTAGTAAAGTGAAGAGAGAGTTTATAACCATAACTGTACAAAAAGCATACATATAGAACTTACTGTTGAGCAGCACATACTGCAGACTGAGGTGTCTAACACAGCATCTTTTTTACGGAATCCAAAAAACTCAAACACTGACAAACTCATTTTTTTGCATGTCGTTAGGTAACTATGGTTGTAAGTTTCGTCGTAACCAGCATACTTCAACAATCTTTTCTGAAACCATAGTTTTTCACAAACAGCATCACAAACGTATGTAGTTGGAATTACAGCTCTTGTCCGTTTCAATCTACTGTATATATTTTATCATGTTAACAATCAGCATGGTTTTTGAAGAGTACCCATGTGCATAAATGCATAAGGAAATGACAAAAGTGGGAACCTGTGATGAATCAAACATCAATTAAAGCAAAACGATGGGCAAGAAAAAATAGTGAAGCAATCATCAGGTGCCATGTTCATTACAGCACCTTCTATGAGATCTCAAATGAATTAATTAGTAGTTATTATCACTCCACCACTTGCGCATGATGTCATTAACAACAGTCCTATATTGTTGAAACCATAGATAGGCTATATACACTAGTCCACATTTGAAGTGGATCAGAACCTTTCATCAAAGTTGTCCTAAAACCAAAATGCGTTCTTGTCTTAGGTCAACTTTGATGAACTTTTTTGCTCCACTTCAAATGTTGACTACTGTATATAAACAGATGCCTCATTAGTGGTTGTTTCTATGAGCCTCTATATGCAAGACGTCCACTATATTAGAATGGTGAAAGCTGGTCCATGAGAACTCAAGAATATACAGTATGCATGTTTGAATATCTATATCTGCAATTGACTTCAGCTGATGGTTTTGCAATAAAACAAGACTAAGCCATTAGCAAACACATTACAGTTACCATAGTTTAAAACCTGTAATATAGAGTTAATACATATAAAAACACAAACCAACACATTACCTACTGGAATTTAAATCTCAGCGTTTTTTACAATCAAAATGACAAAATGGCAAACACATCAACGATGGAGTCGATGAAGGTGTGACAATGTGACAATGTTACTTACAGTTTTGGGAAATTGGTAAAGTCAAGACTAGTTGGTCAATTTATCCAACATACTATGGTAGTTAATCAGCAAGTCACGTCGTTGTATGTGAAACACACCCATATAGTTATTGCCGCTGGATTATTTAGGATATTATCATACTTGTAGTATTAACACAACATTTAATGTTTTAAATATCATGGTTAATCACTACCTTCCCCTTCATGCTCTTGCAAATTACTGAAGAACAAAGAAAGCGCTATCAGTTACTGGCTATAATAAAATGGCACGTCACAGAAAACTGGTCAAGTGAAAGTGAGTTTATTTTGGTAGGAGGTCCCAATAAGAGCTAACATCAACCTTTGTTTCACAGCTAATACTTAAATACTAGAGATGGTTCATCAGGGGGTCAGTGCTACATATTGTGTATGCGTATTTGTGTGTGTATGAGTGGGAAGTGGTGGGGCTAAGGGTATCAAGTTCATCACATTAGAGCAACATGATCCGCCATTACCGTCCACTGGACCACGCTTCGCAAAGCGCCGACGTGCAACGAAATCACTCACGAAATGGAGGGAGACAAGCTGCATGTTTTCACAAGCACAACGTGTGACTGATTTAAGCCACCTCCTGTCCTGACTTCACAAATATTAAGCGCAAACCAGTCACGGATGCAGCGAGGGGCGTTTTTCCATTTAATTTCTATTCTCATTAACTGCTGCATTTATATGAATGAGAATGAGAGAGGAAGTGAAAAGGCCTGTCCAATAATTTGCAAAGGGAAAGAGAATGAGCTGGTGAAAGAGTGATGAACCCAGTGCATAAATGGGTTACAGATTGTTGGGAATACGTCAAGCTTGTCATCATCATTATAAAGACATCGCTCAGACGGTTCTGCTCGCATCATTAGCTTTATGATTCCAGCCCTGGCTGAAGCTCGCAACATATTTGATACATTTTAGCAATACCCAGAATTCCTCCCAAGCCCCCTAGAAACCCTTGTTTAAAGTCCGCTACATTAGCTGGCCGCTACATTACCAACTCAGCACTGCTGGTGGCCATGTTTAATCAAATCCTGTTACTCCAAGAAAAATATGCCTGGGCTCATGATGACAATTGGAGTGGAGCAACGTCCATTAGCACAGCATTTGGTAACGATAGAGAATGGTGATAATACAGGGGACTGCAAGGGAGGCTTTTCTGCCTGGTTTAGTCGGAAATGAAGCCTAACGGAGAGAAATGAAAACAAACAGAAGGAGAGGAGAGGAGGGAGGATATGACAGGATGATTATTCCCCCTCTCCATGCCCCTAAGTGGCTTTATTAGACCTCTAACCCTAAAAGGCGCCTCTGACGACAGATCCGTCAGAGAAGGAGTGGATGGACACGCATACGATTCACACATGCATATACAGAGGTGTCTACAGTCTCAGACCAGCAGTGAAAACATGTTCAGTTTTAAAGGGGTCATATGATGCGATTTCAATTTTTCCTTTCTCTTTGAGTGTTACAAGCTCTTGGTGCATAAAGAAGATTTGCAAAGTTGCAAAGACTAAAGTCTCAAATCCAAAGACATATTCTTTATAAAAGTTAAATCAGCCACACCCACACACAAAATAATGTTCTTTTTAGCAGCATCATATGACCCCTTTAAATCTATTTAATTCATACTAATTTCATTTTTTAAATATTATATTGATTATTATGCAATATGATTTGTAAATTACAATCTATCTATCTATCTATCTATCTATCTATCTATCTATCTAAATTCTATTTTAATTCTATTTAAATAATATATAAATATTTTAATTATATTAATTTATAATTCTACTTAATTTATAATATACAATATCAAATGCATATTCAATATAAAATTCTGGCCTACAAATAGTACAGAAACTTCCATATTTCTTCAAGTCATAACATTCTTTGTTTTACTTTTTAAAAAAATCATTTTTGGCAACTTTGTTTATTTCCAGGTTTAACTGGGGAAAAAATCCAGATTTTTAGTGTGGTCTCAGATGTTTGTACACAACTGCACATATACATGCAAAGTCACAAAATGAAGTGTAATTGCACAAGTACGCACACTGTGCCACAACTGAAGCCAAAGTACGACATCAGCTATGAAGGAAATGAAAAAGTGAGTAATAGGCATTGAATGAATGTCTTGTTCCTAAATTATAGTTGCCATTCACTAATAAATCCTCCAAATTCCACAGCATGCGGATGCCTTGCCCACGGTTCATATTCAATTTTCAAAAACCTCTTTCACATGCACACACTGATTTTGATTTAACTTGCAGCTGTCATGCACGCAAGCACATCCAAACCACAGGGCATCCGTGCGCACATCTTCTGGAAGTAACAGGCACAAGTGTCAGATTGGAGTAGTCTAAACAGACTTGAGCAGCACAGCTGCGAGGAGAGCGTCATTCACTGCCAGAGAGTGCGGAGCACACGCTGAATGTGCTTTTCATATGAGCGCCAGCAGCTCGCACAACTCTCACACTGAGCAACACAGGACCAGATGCTCCCACTTGAGGTAAACACTTGTTACCACTTGGGTCAATCCTTAAGCAGATCCAATGATCATCTGCAGTAGTGCAGTAACGTGATAGTTTAGTGCCACGCTCTGTTCTCACCTCAAGGCGATGCTGTAGGATTCAGGATGGATGCAGGTTTGGTCCAGTGGGTTAAACTGGTTAGAGGTGCTCCCAGAGCCTTTGACTTTTTTCTTCTCAGCTGTCTGTTTCAGAGGAACCTTGAGGTCTTCGTTCCCTCCAGAACAGACACTGCTTGAAGCAAAATTACAAAAACATTGAGGGTAAAATGTCTGAAATATAAATTTGATTTTACATGTGATTTATGACCTATAAATTGTAAGTATTTCTTGTGATACAACTTGCCTCACATTGCCCCAAAAAGATAAATATAAATGAGAAAATAAGTAAAAGAGTAAAATTATTCATTAAACAATCCTTATTTGCAGCACAATAATTATATTTTTGGAGTGTCTATTTACACTAAGTGCAAATAGCCCGCCTTGTTGGCAGAGGCTATTTACAGTAGCTCCACCCACAAACGTGTGATAGGTCAACAGTATAAAAGGCGGCTGACAATCATCAGCTTCAGTGGTGTAGATGGTAAAGCGCGTACCATAGTCTTTTTGACGCAATCGACCCTGGTTCGAATCCGCCTTTCACCAAACTTTTTTTTTCTAACTTTTCAAATCTCATATCACTTTGGAAAGGCATTTATTTTCAATAAAAAATAAGGAAATAATCAAAAAGTTGAAAATAAAGTATCGGGTAGGGTTAGGGTAGGTGTAGGGAGGGCTTTATTGTCCCAATAAGGTGGCATCCATTTAATAATTTGAATTAAAACTATAATTTACACTCAATACGTTATTACTGCATACTGTTTTATAATGTACTACAACACTGAGGTGCAGATAATTGCCACTATTTGCAATAAGTAGTATAAATAGCAGAAAATCCAGCTATTTTAACAGTGTAAATAGAATCCACTGCTATTTGCACTTAGTGTAAATAGCATCTATTGCTATTTGCACTTAGTGTAAATAGCCTCTATCACTATTTACACTTAGTGCAAATAGCCGCAGCCTTATATTTTTATCAGTCAGCCAGTGAAAGGTTTAATATTTAGAACATTTTAATGCAGTCAAAAGTTTTTCAATAGCACCCGTGGCATTAATATTATTAATAATTATTATTAATAATAATTACATTCATTTATTAATTAATATGAATTAACAATTGTAATTGTATTTTCTCCATTTGGAGGCAAAGCCCACCATTACTATTGGTTAAGCCACTGACACGTTAACCAAAAAATGAAAAATGTTTAATATTATAATTCGCAGCTAAGGTTTAGACAAATAATTTACATCATTTTACACACTGGCCTTTTATAAATATATGATACAATATATGATAAAAATAATGCATAATTATTTTAGGTTAAGGGGGCAACACATCTTATCCCACTACCCCCTACATGATATAAAGGCAGCTTGGTGCAAAAACATGTAACTGTAGAAGTGGCGTGATTTGGACGTGTACCTGCATACTGTCTCAGGGATGATCCTGATAAAGCCGGCACACTGCTGGAAGCTCTTAGGACCGAGGCCTTTGACCAGTTTCAGCTGCTCTCTGTTGAGAAAAGGCCCGTTCTTTTCTTTCCACTCCATAATACTGCGTGCTCGCCCTGTGTTCAGACCTGCTATGTGCCTGATAAAACAAAACACCTCATTTAAAAAAAGGGAAATCGGTAATGCTTTAGTATAGGGACAAATTCTTCCTATTAACTAGTTGCTTATTAGCATGCCTATTATTAACATATTGGCTGTTTATCAGTACTTGTAAAGGACACATCCTGCATGACCATATTCTACATTCCCAATCCTACATTTAACAACTACCTTACTAACTCTTAATAATCAGCAAATTAGAAGTTTTTTTAGGCAAATGTCAAAGTTAATGTCTTGTTAATAGCGAGAATTGTACCTTAAAAAAGAGCATTCAAAACATATATGATTTTAAAATGTTGTTATGTTTTCTACATTTGTCAGTTTTTTTTCTAATGTGCTAGGCTAGCAAGTTTTGCTATTTTTCTCACCTTTTGCTATTTTTGAACACCTTTTATGCTTTATGCAATGAAACGTCTTAGGTCGTAATGAGATTTAAGTGATTTAAGTGATTCCTGAGTCAGATATAACAGTTATTCGGTCCAAAAAACCTAAATGTAATCTCTCACATCTTCCCACCGGTTCAAATCCTGTTTGTTTTTGGAATTAGTCATTGATTTATACGTCAATACCAAGCATTAACCACACATCCTGGATCAAGAGCTTCGCTTTAAAAGTCCACCCAAGGCCATGGAAATTTCTTTTCATACTTATGTAAACCGTACATATTAACAAACAAGAAGTCCGATATTAGTAAAATATTGAGAACATTTTCCAGCAGAATTACCAAATGGCTGCCTAAGATCTCATAATCTTTTTGACCTTTCCATACAAAACAGAAAGGTATTGAGACAATTTTTTTGTGAGGCGGTATGGGCAATTCGAAGTGGCAGCTCCCCTAAAAGCAGCTATGTAAACATTATATGTCATCACTTATAAATAAGGGGTGAATAACACTGGAGCCACGAACACGTCGTCTGGAGCTCTGGTACTGAGAGCTCATTTAAAGTCAGGTAAACAGATGACCTGATCCCAGCCTACCTCACGATCATATAACCCTGCATGTTAATGGGATCACACAGCTTTCCAGCTCAGTATAGTGATGTATGGGTGTCTAAGTACACCATAAGTCAAAGGCATAATCCTAATGAGTTAAATACAGAAATCTGATATTTGTGAAATGTGCGTATTTCATTCTAATGCTTACATGTATCTGAATGAATGCATTGACGAAACATGAAAGTGTACCTGGTTTCATCAAAATATTTTTTAACTCGCTTATACTAACTTCTAGTGTTGAACGAAGGATTTAAAAAAAAAAGAATAAGCTGTGTAAATGAAAGCTAACATTTCGAAGGCACATCTAGGGGCATGTAGACGTGATCCTGATTGTATTCCGGAAATATATTATTCCAAATCACTGTTTTCCGTACTGCAAACAATTTGCAATTACTCATGAAATCCTACAAGGTATTAGGCAGAGCGAGTGGATGTAATGAATATGTACATTTCAGTGTTTCTGTAAGTTTATGTGACTAATATTCGAGGCAGTATTTCTCAATTTGTGTATATGTTAGCGAGCGGCAATGTTTGTGTATGTAGATCACAATGTTTGTGTGTAGTGGGGATGTGAAAGACGTGTAGGGTGTCAGACTAAACAGAGCGCTAAGCAATAACGGGGAGGCGAGTGAGAAGTTGCCATGTTGTGACTCCTGCTGGAAAGTATTTGGCCTCTACCTCATCAGCGTCTCTGAACAGATGTTGATGTCCACTCCCACGAAGCTCACACACTCCTGCACCACCCCATCCAGCGCTGCCCTCAGCAAACTCTGTGACACGTCGTGCTGGAAAGAGTGACCACAGTCTTAGAACGTGTGTTTGTGCAAGAAAGGAAAAGGAAGGGCTCTGTTCTTGACCTGGGCTCTGAAAACGAATTCAAACACCTTGAAGATGTTTTTCTAGTATGTTGACTTGATTCAATCACAAATTTGACATATATTAAAAGTTCACTAAATCGCTACGGTTACTTTGAAAATAATTAAAATGGTAAAAGTTCTACTCTGTGTCTTTCGAAATGTCAAGAAAGTCTACATCTATTAGATATCTCAGCAAGAAATCGTGCTGTCTCAGTCACTTTCCAAAAACAAGCCGCTTTGCCAGGCCAACGTTGTGTCATTGGCAATCAAACGGTAACCCTAAATACTTTGCGGTGTTCATGCTGGTCTGAGGGGGAAAAAAGAGACGGCAGAATAAAAAGGCAGCCAGAGAAGGTCTGAGGCTGTTTTCATTGGAAAGCATCTGTGACACTTCAAAGTCCTCTCACAGGGGTTTTCCATTAAGTGCAGGGAATTGATAAAGTTAATCCAGCCGAACTTTTCACACTTAGGAGGCGGTTTTCTAAAATGGAGATGGAATTCAAAGCAAAGAAAACCACAAGGCCAAATTCAAAACTGACCAAAATTAGGGGCAAGCAGGGAATTCTGACAAGCCTTTGTCTGTCTTGCATTGGGACCAGTATCCATATGGAAGAAGTTATACCAATGCTTGAGACCTGCTAAGAAGAATGTGCAATTCTTCATTTGGAAGAACTCATTACGACTTTTACAAGATTTTCATTTTCATGTACTAGCTACAGTTCACAATGGTGGCTTGGGAGAAAAACATATAATTTTACTCATATTTAAAGTTGCAATGAAATGGAAGTAGCAATAGACTTTTTTCTTTTGTGTCATGACATACACCTATGGAAGCCCATTTCCACTATTGAATAAAAAAAAAAAAAAGTAATTGCAACTTCTCAGAATTTTCTCAAATTCAGACTTTTTTCTCAGAAATGCACAATAAAAACCCGCAATTCTGACTTCATTTCTCAGAATTGTGAGTTTATATCTTGCAATTCTGACTTAATTTCTCAGAATTGAGTTTATATCTCGTAATTCTGACTGTATAACTTGTAATTTTGTTTATATCTCACAATTCTAAGGGAAAAAGTCAGAATTGCGAGATGTAAACTCACAATTGCGAGAAAAAAAGTCAGAATTATAAGATTAAAAAAAACTCAGTTACCTTTTTATGTTTTATTCAGTGGTGGAAACGGGCTTTAATATACATAAGAGTGAAATGGATTATCGAAAAAAAAAAGTACAGTAGGGCAGTTGCTATACTTACTTATTGTGTACATACATGTTTTTACATTGTACTTGTATTTAAAAATACCTTTCTGTAATCACATCTGTAATTAATTTCTGTAGTTAGATCTGCAATTACCCTGTCGACTGTACTCCTATACCTTAGCCCACTCTTAGCCCACAGACCACCAAAACCTGTCCTTAACCTTAACCATGTACCACCTCAACAGCAGCATTTTTAAGTTCAACATGAACACAATAAGTACATTGTAAGTAGGGCTGTAAAAAAAAATTAGAATTTAGAATATTCGTCGAATTTAAAATAAAAATCCACATTCGAATGCAAAAACGTTGCATTCGAATTTTAGGTGTGCGTTAAGGAGGCAGCCTTATCAGTGGCGCACAAGATGCGATGACAATGTAAGTGTCGTTGCATTATAATGTTTTTGTTAGCCTATCCAGCTGAAGGCACTAGATGCAGCGCTGCTGTGTTGTTAATGACAAATATTGCGGGAAAAGAGAACGGAGAAGATCTTGTTTACGTCAAAACTGAAACCAAGCCTTTCACACAGAACGCATATTTCGCGCATTTTCTAGAGGGACATCACCGTTGCACTCGCACAAAAGAGCTGCATGTTTCGAAAGCCATGTAAAATTCATGCAAGTTCAACTTTGAAAAAACATGTTGGCGGGGGTTTTTTTCCCCATCCCACTGCATCTCAAGTTTTTAAATGAAAAATGTATTCTGTGTGATTGGCTTTCGGCCCTTTGTATTAAACTATGAATACATACATGATGCTGTTTTGTTTATAGTCGTTTAAGCAACTTAATTATAATTGGTTTATAAACATTATTTTAAACATTATGCACTTTTTTCACAGATAGTCATGTTTTCTTATGCTTTGAATAAACGTGCATTAGTAATATTTTGCTCGATGCGCCCTCTTGTGGCCTCAGGAGAGAAGCCAAAAGCTTTTCTTCACCCTAACTGAAATTATGCATTTTAAATTAGAATTTTGATAATATTTAAGTACAAAATTCGAATTTAGTTTTTCAGCCATTTTGACAGTTCTACATTGTACCTAACAATTATTACAATGAAAATAAAACCATTTATAGCAATAGACATGACGGGAGTTCAACACCTTAGAAAACACAAATGTAGTTAAACTACTCAAATAGCTCATTGACTCCATCTACGACCTAAATAGATTCAAAGCTCTTTTGATGAATTGTTGAGCATGTGACTTCTAAAACACCAGCCGGTTTATGGTTGTAAAAGGATGATGAGAAACTTCAAGAGGTCAAAAGACTGTGTGCTCTAATTTTCTTTTTAATTAGGGGAAAACCCAACAGCAATGACAGTTTATGGTGGTTTGGGAGTGTACGACATGTATTGCCTGTTCTGTGTACATTTCTATGTAAATTTACAGTGCGAGTAAGATCTAATGCTCTCAAGTTGTCTTTGCGTGCACTAGTGTGTCATTGTGTTTGTGTGAATACAAATTCAGTATATTAAACAGACCGAGAAGCCCACGGGGCTCTTATAGCTAACTCAATATACACATTCAACCTCCCTTGTGCACACACGAATACACACAGTCACACACTAACACAAGAACAGGCAGAAATAATAAACATAGACATAGACGATATATTTTCCTCATATTTGGACGCAGTGGTTTACTTTCAGAGAGTGTTAGTGTTTGAAATTACACAACCAATGGGAAAAAGTAAGAAGTGGGTCTGATGGTGTGAATCGGGATACTTTATCCCAATATCTTTTGTTTTAATCATTCTGGGACACTTTACAAATCAACTTGCTTTATCATGAGAAGAATAGTAAACATGAAACAGTGTAGAGAACCTTATTCTATAACTAAGCATGTTTGGAGGATACATATATGGTGGATATTCAGTTATTAAAAACTGACTGTTAATATCCTTATATGGCAATCATGTTTCACATTAAACACAGAGCAACGCAATGTGCTAAAGAACTGTTTTCCAATGTAATAAAATGCAGTGCGTTTGGACTGTGAAAATGCGGCCAAAAACATGGAGAATGTCAAAGTGGTCTGAGAAGCAGATGTTTCGTAAAAAAAAAAAATTCACCCTCGAAACAAATGTTGTTGCCTAGAGAAATCTGATCTTGTAAACTCATTAGCAGATCTGCCTGTTTGTCCACAAAACACATGTCCGTCGAGAACAGGCACCAAAACACTTAAAGAAAAGGTGTGATAAGAGATATTATGGGATGGGCAGACTTTCTTTTTTTCTTTCTTTCTTTTTTCTTTGATGGCTGAAAGAATTTTGTGCATGGGTTGATTTAAATATTAAAGGGGTCATATGATGCGATTTCAAGTTTTCCTTTCTCTTTGGAGTGTTACAAGCTGTTCGTGAATAGATAAGATCCCTAAAGTTGCAAAGACTAAAGTCTCAAACCCAAAAAGATATTCTTTATAAAAGTTAAGACTGGTCCACACCCTCCTAAAATGCCTCATTTAAACATACCCCCACATGTCTACGTCATGATGTGGGAAGATTTGCATAACGCCGCCCAAATGTTAACGCAAAAAAAGAAGGTGTAACGGTTATTCTCGCTGTAGTATTGTTGTTGCCGCCGCCGCCATGTCGTGGAGACGCTGTGTTTCGGTGTGAAAGCAAAACTACATTGTTTGGCCTTCCAAAAGAAGACGATATCCACTTCGTCATGCCTAGAGCTGATCCGTGCTGTCCGCTGAGGAAATACATCAACTTCGCGCTGTGGATCGCCGGATCGGCTTTCATCGTGGACGAAGCGGATTCCAGCCCGGGATCGTCACATGTGGTTGCCGCAAGCCCGCCGCCGCTCACTCAAGCCCGCTGTGTGTGACGCTGTGTGTTTCATTGGGAAAGCGAAGCTACTTTGTCTGGCCTTCCAAAAGAGGACACGACTAGAAATCAGTGGTTACGTTGTATTTACAACACTGTTCCAGAACAGTTCAACCCAAATATTCAGCTGTGTGCAGCGCATTTTATGGAGGACTGTTCCTGATCCTGGAAGAGTAGACTACAATGCCGGCTGTTCTGATGATTCAAACGCAAGTTTTGAGCAGTGTAGAGTAGCGCTTGTTGTTTGTCATTTCTCCGATTACAAATGCAGACATGGTTTTATGTTTACGCCGCCTGATGCAACGCAACACGTAAAAAGACAGTATAAGTCATTATAATCCGTAATTATGTACCCACTGGATGTAACAAATGCCTAGTTTATAATGGGTTTTAATGTTTTCGTCTCATCGCTCCGGGACACAGCATCACAATATGGTAAGGGGCGAAACATTTCCGTCACACGCTTGAGGTATTCGGCCAATCACAATGCACTGGATAGCTGGCCAATCACAGCACACCTCGCTTTTCAGACCAACAAGCTTTGTAAAAATTGACGCGTTTCAGAAAGGCGGGGCATAGAGGAGAAACAATAATGTACAGTATGTGGAAAATAATGTGTTTTTTAACCTTAAACACATTTCATTACACCAAATACACAAAATAATGTTCTTTTTAGCAACATCATATGACCCCTTTGCAGTTAAATGGAATTGAGGTTTTAATGCTCAGTTCTTCGTTAACAGAGTAAATGAAATTAAATGAAATTAAATTAAAATTATGGACTCCTGCAGGTAGGGTACCTCATATATAAGTACAGCAGTGTAATGGAGATGAGGTTTTAA